GACATCTATATGGCACTTCCCGAGATAGACCCTTCCTTGAACGAACTCCCAAAGTTTTTATCTGAATTTCCATCTGTGTTGCTTCAGCTGCAACAGCCAAAATGAGTAGTACTTCACTTTACCTCTTAGAGATCCCTTCTTGTATTTGTAATAGACTTGATCAAGCAGGCATTTCTCTGCACATATTGCGTTGACATTTCTCATGCACAAAGCAGACCTGCTATGAGATTCAGGAAAGTAGAATGAAAAGAATAGTTATTTCATCCATATGTATTTATCTTCCGGGATGTCTTCAGCACCATAGGCCTAGATTTGCAGGCTCTGCTGATTGTACAGTGTATATGCAATTGCTCCCCTTTTTGAAACATGTACAGAGTATGATTCGACCAGCATGCTGATTTGTGACTCATGCGTTGCTTTTTTGATTTGTTTCAAACCATCATTAGGCAGTAAAGGCATTTCATATATTATGATTTTTTGTTCGTGTACCTGAGTTTCTAAGTTGAATTTAGCTTCTAAAGCTATTAGGTTAGTTTAGTGATGTTTGAAATCTTTCTTGAAATAAAGGCACAAATATTACTTGTAAGATTTCAATAGACAAAAATATGACCATTTTTAAACTTTACACAAAAGTGACCATATTGATTTCCGTTTCTCTTGTCCTATTTAGTCATTTAGAGATGGCGGTGAGATGGGGATGAAATCGACATCGAGATGGTGACAGGACTCTTCGCGGATTGTGCATCGCACATTCGCACCTCAGATGGAGTCCGCACCGCAGCGAGCTCCAACGATGGTGCCATGGTGGTGAGCTAGACTTGGACTCGGGCCGGGTTGGGCCTGGTTGGGATGTCGGTTCTGAATAGATGGGCCTGGGACCTGCCCGGGTACCCACTGGGTCTGGTCCGGGTGCGGCGGCAATATATGCGATCAAGTCAGACAGTGGCGGTGGTTCGTAGTAGGGATTCAAGGTTGGGGTTGGGGCGACGTTGCTTGAGGCACTGGCTAATCCGGTTGGATCGACGTTGGTTAGGGTGCTCAAAGTTGGTGTGCAACTTGTGGTGGCTGAAGGGTCTGAGTTGGTTGGCGGCGGACCAGGATCAGGTTGGTGGAAGTAGCTAGGGGTGGACTCGGTTTGGGCCAACCGGCCTGGTGGGATGGCGGTTCAGGCTCGGGCCCTTCAAAAGGTGAACCGACCCGGCTGGCTCGGGCCCAGGTCGGTCCATTTTTTTTTTTGAATTTTTTTTAAGTTTTTGGGTTGGGCTGGGTATTTTGGGCCATTTGAGGTGGTTAGGGTTGGTTTGGGGTTGAGGGGGAGGGTTGGGGGTTAACTAGGAAAAGCCAAAAAAAAAAAAATAGAACCGAGGCCCGGCTTGGCTCGGACCGGGGGTTACTCGGGCCGGTTCCGGGCCTCCCCTTCTTGAACCGAGGCCTGGCCGGGCTCAGGCCTTAACCAGGCTCGAACCGGAACTAGGCGTGGACTCGGGCCGGGCCTAGGCCCGGTCGGGCCGCCAGTTTGTATGACATGGGCCCGGGACCGGCCCGAGGGTTGGACGGGTCCGGTTCGGGCCGGGCCACCTGCCCGGGTCACGGGTCGGGCCACCCGTCGGGTCGGGCCAGTTAAAGTTTTTTTTTTATAATTTATATTTTATAATTTATAGTTTTATACAAGTATTAAAAACAAACTTCAATTGCATTTATTTGAAATGAAATAGGAACTACATTTGAAAATTAAAACAAACTTTAAGAGACAAACATTTTGAAAATTGTAAATTTGTAATCAATCGGAACTTCCCGCACCTCCCGATCCTTTAGCTTTGTCATATGACTTCATATGCTTCATTGCCATCTCGTATCCGTCTGAAACCCCTATGCTACATTTTTTCCCGCACCATTTGCAAGTTGCGTACCACATCCCGGTCTTCGGGTCCTGCTTATCAAAATTATACCGTATAATGGGATCTTGATTTTCCATCTTAACTTCTTAAGTATAAAGTAGATGTATATATAATAAATATAATATATTGGAGAATAAGAGAATTAGAGAGTAGAGAGTTAAGAATAGGATTTATGAAGAATTGGAGAAGAGATATGAAAAAATGTTTAAGATTAGGACTATTTATAGGTTTTTTTACCCCACCTACCCCCAAACCCCCCTGCACCCACCCCCCAAGGCCATAACGGCCAGTTTGGGGCTCAACAATTTTTTTTTAAATTGGACCGTTGGACTCGGACCCGGTCAACTTTTTTAGGAACCGTACCCGCCCCGCCCCTCTCCACCGGTTCGGGTCTACACCTGATCCCGGACCGCCCAACTGGGCCGGTCCCGGGCCCGCACAGTAGCGGGCCGGGCCGGGTCACAGGCCGGGCCGGGTCACGGGCCGGTTTGTCCCGAACCGAATCCAACACTAACCGGAACCGGTCCATGCCTAGAAGTAGCAGAGGGAGTTGGGGAGGTGCCTGAGAAGGTGGTTTGGGGTTGGGTGGTGAAATGGCTGGGGTTGGGGTTTGTGTTAGGTAGTTGAGTTGAGGTGGTCAGTGGCAGTGGTCGGTGGTGGTTGGGAATGGTGGCCAAAATAACACTAGTCGGAGTAATGGTGGGTCACTTCGGATAGGGGCTGCCGGGCTGGTTGGATCTAGAGTAAGGTAGGGTGGTTGATGGCAAGTCAGGGGCAAGCATGGACATGGGGATGGGGGGGGGGTCCAAAAGGATAGGGGTACTAGGCGGTCGGTGGGTTGGCGGGGTTGGCAGCGTCGAATGTTACTGGGCTGTGGGTTGTGGCGGTGTCACTGTCGCGGTGTCACTGTGATCGGAGATGACATGTCACTGTGGCCATCAGTGGTTGTGGCTGGAAGACAAAGATGGCACTGCGGAAATGTAATTGTGGCCAGAGGTTGTGGCGGAGATTTTACTATGAAAATCTCATTGCGGAGTTGTCACTATGGTCGGCAGCTGTGACCGGTTGCGACAGTGACATGGGCGACAACAATGACATCCGACAGTGATATGAAAATTAAAAATTGGATAGTGACATAATATTTGGCGGTCAATTTATACTATTCCATATGGATGGACTCGGGCCGGGTGGCCCGACTCGGAATCGGACTGGGACCGGTACTGTTCCGGCCCGGCCCGACCCGGTGGCCTGGTCAGTGACCGGTCCGGGTAGGCCCGACCCGTGGGTTTTTCGGTCCAGGCTCGGGTCACCCAAAACAAGGCTCGACCCGGCCGGGCGGCCCGGGCCCGGGCCCGGTTCGGGCCAAAACTTTTTTTTCAATTTTTTTTAAATTTTCGGGTTGGGCTGGGTATTTTGGGCCATTTGGGGTGGTTTGGGGGGTTGGGGGTGGGAGGGGGGTTAATTAGGAAGAGGAAAAAAAAATTGATAATGGGCCTGGCCCGACCCGGCCCGGACCCGGACCGGACCTGGTGGTTACCCGGGCCGGTCTCGGGTCCACCACTTCTGAACCGCCGGCCCGCCCGGGCCTAGGCCCGACCCGGACCCGAGTCCATCCCTACTATTCCAAATATATAACCATTTTAGTCACATTTTTGTCCAAATATAAATGTGGTTACATTTTTGGAAAACACCTTTTGTTTAGTAATATTAAAGGAAAAAACCCATCTTTCTTCCTTGAGGTTTCCTATATTATGCCGCTATTATTTGTGATGTGTAGCTATTATGGTGATGTGTACTATGTATGATAAGATGCTGAGATTAGGGCAAACTGTACGATTTTGGTTACGTATCATTGAAACATTTGATTTTATTCATAAGTAGGGTGGACCCGGTCTGTCAGGTATGTTCGGGACTGTCTCGGGACTGGTTTTTCGATTCCGGTCAAAGACCGCCCTCACCCCTCGAGCTTCTTTACTTGGTCCTGGGTGCCTTTTTCCGACCAGTGTTGGGCCCCCTCTGGTCTCCAAATGACGGCTTTTTGTTTTGTTCTTTCCTTTTGGTCCATTGAAGCTATTTTTTTTATTGTTTTATTTGTTTGAAAAACCTCTCTCTGGTAAACAATGGCTAAATAATAGCCATGTCCCATAAGTGTTTGTGGGTGGGGTTGAGGCCTTGAGGGTGGGGAATCTAAAAAAACATATAAATACTAGGGATGGACCCGGGCCGGTCCGATTCCGGGCCGGGCCCGGACGGGCTTTTTTCCCAGATACTTGGGCCCGGGTTGATACCGGGTCCGGACCAAATTGGGCCGAGCCGGTCCGGGCCGGTTCAATGCATAATTTTTTTGGCTTTCTTGTTATCCCCGACCCCCCCCCCCTCACCCTCACCCCCCAAACCTCCCCAAAACACCAAGCCCTACCCAAGCAAAAGAAAAAAATTTGAAAAAACAAAAAATGGCTCGGAACCGACCCGAACTGGCCGGTCCGGTTCATATAAATGTGGCCCCGGAATCGGCCCGCCAGGCCCGCCCAACCCGCACTAAAGCCCGAAACTGGCCATCCGGGTCCGGTCCGGTCCGGGCTCGTACAGTGACGGACCGGGACGGTTCTGATCCGGTTCGGCCCGGTTGGGTCCATGCCTAATAAATACCACTCATTTCTAAAAATTCATATACCTTGATTCTACAATCTACACTTTTAATCTCTCATTCTCTCTACTTTTATTGTTTTCTCTACTGTTGCATTCTTCATCTTTACATTTATATTTAATGTGTATATGTATTTATTAATATATATCATATACCAGTAATTGTTTATTACATTAGAATATTAGTTACAATATATATTTGTACTTATAACAATTTTGTTTTTATACTCCAGGGGGTCTGAGGGGAGGGGGCCTGGGGTGCCTGGAGTAATCAGGGCTGAAACTCACTCTATTGAGTTTCAAATCCTTATATGCCTAGTGAGTTTCGAACTTGAAACCTCCCACTAGGCACGGTAACCTCACAACCAGCTGGGCTGGAATGCTTAGTTTTGTACTTATAATAAATAGTAATATATTATTATTTATACTTATATTACACATATACATACTTGGCTTTTTCAACCAAAGTAAAAATTTTATTAATAAGTACCAAGAAGATTACATGGAAGGAAAAAGGCAAGGAAAAATGGAAAAGGAAGAAAAAAGTAACAAGAAGAGAAAAACAAAGATGTGAAACAATCCACCCCTAAGTACAATAAAAAAAGTCTCTCCCAAGAAAACTCTAATACTCAATCACATAGTTAGTAATCCAAATAAGTTTAAGCACTTGTTCTCATATAATGGGAGTGTTGATACTCTTTCTTGCACAACTTAATTTGAGTGATAAATTCTCTGCGAGCAAGTAATTTGAGTGACAAACAATTTATACACTTGCATATATGTTTAGATTATAATATAATTTTAAAAACAATGTTGTAAAAGGTGTTAGTCGGGTGCTAACCCCTAGTGCTTAGGCAAATTTGCAGACGTCTGGGTGAGACTAGTCGGAGAAATTGAAATTAAAGTTTTGGGGATAAGGCTCAAAATGGACACTAGGGTTATTTAGGAAGTTCATATTGGACACTTAGCTTTTGAGTGGACCAAATTAACACAAGATATTTATTTGGATAACAATTGACCACCCATTCACGTTTTATTTTAACGGTGTTTAACAGCCCTTCATAGTTCATATCATGTAGCTACTCAATTCTCTCCTTCTCTATCTATACCCCATCATCTTCCTCTTCGTGTGGTCTCTGTCGTCGTTCAATGCAAGTGTGCAATTGCTACGTTAAACATCTCCTTCCTGTAAAAAAAAAAGAGAGAACATTGATTTCTGTTTGAGCAAAAATCTAGTTAATGGGTAAAATCTTCTTCTAGTCTAGTAGTACGGAAGTCGCCCACCCCTAAGCTAACTGAGTCTCAATTTGAATCCGAGTCTCAACGAGCACACTGATGATGTCATGTTTGCTGTCTATGTTGAATGTCTGAAAGGTATTTCACCAATTACGAGATGAATCGGACCGAGGAGTTTGACTGATTCAAGAATTACTCGAAGAGCGAGACCATCTGGGTTGCTTCACTCTGCTGGTAGCCTGGTATAGAAGCTAGAAACGGGGAAGACTTTTCCATTTATACCAAGCTTCAATACCTACTGCACAGATCCGCCTGCGGCGAAAGGGTGTTTTTGACCTACGCGCATGTTGTTGATGAGCCAAGCTTGAGAATTCACTTCCTACTCAAATAGTGGCAATGCTGACCGGGAGCAGGGAATTGGATCATATTTCGAAAATGCCAACACCTAGTGACCAAGGGGTTTTCAAGTACGGAAAAATGACAATGGAAATGAGTATTCGGTGGGCTTTTTATTTATTTGGCTTCTCTAAATCAAAAGGGATAAAGAATTGTTAACTCTAGAGGGACCATCAAAAACAAACGTTAGTGGGTGGCCAAATGTAGCTCAAATAAGTCATATATGTGTTAATTTGATCCGTTTAAAAGTTGAGTGTCCAATATGCACTCCATAAAAAACCTTAATGTCCCTTTTGAGCCTTCCCCCTAAAGTTTTGTGTACTTGTATATGATTGTTCATCCATGACTAACCTTTAGAGAACAAATAAACATTTCAATTTCAAATTCTATCTAAAAGATCTTTCGTTGTGCGCTGGACGGCCCTAGGGGAAACCCTAGGCAGCCATTTTCAACTTCCTGCGAGATATGATCTTCTAATCTTTTCTTCTTCAATCAGCAAAGTCTTGGAAAATTGGTGAAGTAGTATATAATGGTTTGGTATTAAAAAAGGAGTTAAAATGAAGAGGGCCCAAAATAGGGGAAACGGCACCGCCGCCGGCATGGTAGTAGGTTCCAAGGAAGATGGACCACTTCCTACTATCCAATTCGGCACTCTCATCTTCACAGATGGAGACCACTAGGTTCACAAGGAGTCCAGATGCGAGCTGATACCACGACAGGTCTTCAAGGGGGTGTCGGCCTGACTGGTAAGGCGAATCTTACCCTGCGACTACATAGTTTCAACAACGGTGCACCCAAACGGAAAAAGCTCAGATCCTGTGGTTGCGGTGGGGGCTGGCGTTTGGCGGAACTAAACAGACCGCACAAAGTAGATCGGAAACGCCACCCGACTTATCGATGGAGGAGGAACGATGGCTCCGCAGAAGAAGCTAGGGACGGCAAAGCGTGGTGATTTCTCGACGGCCAATAGCAGAGCTTAGGGATGGCTGGCCTAATTTCGTCCAGACTTCTCCTGCAGGTCGACGACACCAGAGGAATCCTCCTGCTCATGAGAAATGCAGGGCAGCCTTCAATGAGAAAGCTCATTGATTGGGGTTTCAATCTAAAATGGACAATCTGTTCTATCAGGATGCTAAAGAGATCACAATCTCAGATGCTTTAATGCACGCTGATTAGGTATATTCTGAGCATATGGTTGATACTTTGAGCTTTTCTAATACAACTGCTGCATTTGATTCTTCTCATATTTGTGCCGCATGAGATTCTTCTATTTCAAAATTGAAGTTATTTTTTCAAGATACAATGAATTCGAGTGTGGCTAATCTGTCATCTTTTCTCTCCAACAAACCAATGTCAATGGAACCGTCCAAAGAAGCCAACATGCCACACTCTGGCCAGGCACGGGGAAAGAGCAATAACGGAATATCAACCACAGATGGTTCCACATCGGCCAAAAAACATCATAGGATTAACACAAAGACAACTCACACCCACATGATCCTTCATCGGCCAAATGGTCCTCCATCAGGCAGACTCTATCATCTCATAATATAGCCCAGAAGTTCAGGAGCAAGAGATTGGCTCTCCATCGGTCCGGCCCTCCATCGGCTTGGTCCTTCGTCGGCCAACAAGACTCCAGCAGACTAGATTTTGTACTTAGCTTATAAATCATGTACTCAGTCCATTTACTTTGTAACGGGCCTCCCAGGCCCAAGTCCTGGGAGCTCAAACCCACATTTCCCTTGTAAATACTCCCCGTAAAGGTAGTTGTAGGGGGTTGAGAAATATTTATTGCTCACTTTCTCTCTCTAGCACTCACTTCTCTCTAAATTAATACTCTATCAGTAATATTTTTTTCCCAAATTGAGTAGTTCTAGAGTAGGATATTGACTAAAAATAAAATAGTGCATATTAAGCCTAGAATATAGTAAGATTTTTCAAATTTCCTATTCACGTATTCAACAAGTTTAAATTTTATTACTTGATTTTTGGAATCAATCTTTAGTTTTATCTTTATATAATACGTGGTATGTAATAATGACAAGAATGTGTAGACATGTTCCAGTAATTTATTAATTTGGCGAATTCATTCAACAAAGCAAATGATTTAAATTTTCAAATTGGTATTTCGGAGATTTTGTTTGGTTGTTCTACAGCTTAATGGGAACTAAAATGTGATTTCCGGTAATGGCGACATAATCCCTAAAACCAAAAGGTGACATAAATAATTGTTTTGGCAGGCCGGCCAGGATTGAAGCGTGTAGATATAATAGTGAGAGGGGATGTTTAGCTTAGGCAGGAAGTGTGTATGTGAGAAATTATTAGTTTTAAAAATAGACAGAAAACGAAATTATCGAATATTTTTTCATATTATAATGTTTAAGCATAGCTATGCGTCAAAATTAACAAACTTTTTGTTAATTACTACTGGACAAAGAGAATAGTGTATAGTATCTATGGTATATGGGAACGTTGATAATTTAGCTAGCACACGTACAGCTAGGTCCGGGTCCGGGTCCGGGCGTGAGAGTGTAATGATGGATCAGGTGGTACGTTGGAGCGCGGCGGCGCATAGGAAATGGTTGACGATGTTGTTGAATTGGGAGGCGTCCTCCAGCTGCGGTATATGCGAGGTCTTCTTCATTATGTTCAGACGACTCTTCTTCCCCAGAACCCTGTACGTTCGTACGTACACGAACAATCATATCAAATTTCACTCAATCCATTCACGCCACTTTCTTTTTTAATTTTAACAGATGAGTAATTAATAAGAAATAGTTGACAGATGAGTTAAATACATACTCTTTGAGGTGCGTAGCCTTTTCTAATAGAAATAACTGATCGTGCTCTCCCCATATAAGCAACACTTCCTGCATGCATGCAATTATTATACTACAGCATTATTAATTTATTATACTACGTGGTGGTACGTAACTACGTAATTATGAATCCATCTTCGATCTTAGATTCGATCTTATGTATTATTATATCTAATACGGAGTGGAGTATATATATATGGATCAACAAAATGCATGTACGATGATAGATTGATAGTCGTGTACGTACATACTTCAATTCCCCTTGCTATATATAATTTTTTTTCCCATTTAATATATCCTTTCAAGAAAAAATTTGTACGGTTGGTATTGTTTATTTCCTTTTTATCAGTCACAATTCACAAACTTGTATTCCTTAGATATTACACAGTATGTGCTAAGTCATTTTTTAATTGACATATACTGCGGCCGGATTGCTCCTATATATATCCGGTTGCAAAGTGGCCGGTTAGTAGAAGCACATGGCCAGATGCGTAGGACGGATCCAAGAATCTGGCCGTAATGCCATAGTTGACTCGATGAGGAAACACGATTCTTTTGGCTGATTATTGATGTACTCCCTCCGTCCCGGAAAATTAGTCTCACTTTGACTTGGATCGGAGTTTAAGAAAGTGGGAATAAAGTGGAAATGTATGGTTGTGCTTGAGTAAGAAAAAGGTAAATGAATGTTAGCCACACAAAACTTTCCAAAAAGGGAAATGAGAACAATTTTTTGGGACGGCCCAAAAAGGAAAATGGGACTTATTTTATGGGACGGAAGGAGTAACAATTAGGCCTGTCAATGGGTCGGGTCTATACCCGGACCCGACCCGGTTGTTTTTAATGGGTACGAGTCTATATTTTATCCCGTTTACCCGAACCCGGATCCGGACCCGTTAATATTTTAAATAAACGGATCGTATATGGTACATATGATTCCGACCCATTAAGGACCCGGACCCCTTTAAAATTTCTTATTTGTATACACTTACACTAATACATAAAGTGATTAGTTATAACACTTTAAATAAAATAAAAACTAATATACATATATACATAATAATACATAAAGTTATTAGTTGCGAATTTGTGATTATTCAATAAAAATATACACATTAATACATAGATACTATATACTAGTAAGTGATACTGATCAAGATAGTGAGATACCCTACAACTAATGCCCATTTTGGCCGTAAATACATACTGATAAAGTGTGTATTGAGTTTGGTAGGAAAAGCACAATATTTATTACTATTATTATTAATATTATTATATCATTATCATATGTGATACTACATACGAAGTATGATTTTATGCTCTTAGTAGCTCAAGAGACTTTTTATAACTTAATTTCTAGTTTATTCTAAGAGCTTTTTGTGTGAGAGAAAGCGACGCAAAGTGTGGAGCTATATGCCTGTACAAGAACCGATACTTTATTAGATAAAAGTACTAATTTTCTATGAGAGACCTTGATTTTGATTTGAAAAGTGAAGATATATTTTGCTTTTTAAATTTGTACACTTTGCTTTATATTTCACATACATGTCTTGTGATTTTCACAAAGTTTATAATGGTGTGTGTATCATACTTGGCGGACGGGTCTACCCGACCCGATTCCGAGACCCGCAGGGTCTGGGTCCGGGTCCAATTTTTCAGACCCGTCGGATAAACGGGTCGGGTCCGGTTCCATTATTAACTTAGCGGGTCCGGGTCTGGAACACTACGTTCCGACCCGGACCCGACCCGTTGACAGGCCTAATAACAATCATTATTGATGTAGTCGATGCTAACCGAGGGTGCAGTTACTAATACACATACGGACTATATATTTTCCGGTAACTTTAATTGTACATCTAATTTTTTTAAAAAAAGATGACACTCCATCCCTGAGGACCCTCCAACACCGATTGGACGGTAGGTTGGGAGGATGTAAATTGGACTATAATCTCAATCTCACAGATAGAAAATGAGACTCTGTCCTCGGTACTTGCAGAGATCCTATGCATTTTTAGGCATAGTAACCTCTCATCGTAGTTGTCGGGATTCGAACCCGGACCTAACCCTTGTGGCACTCTCTTGCTACCAGTTGAGCTACGCTCACCGGTATCTAATTTTAATTTGTACTTATAACTTGATCATTTAGAAGATAATTCCCTGATAGTACGGATTGGTAAAATACGGAGAAAGTGCGAAAATAGGAGTAAAATTTTCAAATTCCTCAAATAAAAGGATAAAAATATCCCTGCCGGATTTGCTGCCAGCCGGCGATTGCGGGCGCTCTAATGCATCCGATCGCCGCCGTCGGCCATATCAACAGACTGATCCAATTATGCAAACGAATTAGAGAATAATTAATTATATTAATTAGATTGAGGGTATTAAGAGTATAAAATTAATGTTCAATCATATATAAGAACATTTAATTTGGACTCCTATTTAGGAAAATGAATTACGGAGTATGTTTTATTCGAGCAATTACTCTAGAACACAATAATAATAGAATAAAGTGAAATTAAAGCTAGATGACCTGTTGAAGTGGGTAGACTTCGGGCGTGTTATCTGTTCCAATGGTCAATCCGTACAGCAGTTCTACCTTCTCTATCCTATTTTCTGCGTATAATTTCTGCACAAAATTGCAGGCTACGTGCATCAGTAACGGTTCAAATGATTTCTACACTACCAAACAAGTAATTAAGTTCTTTCGTTCTCAATACTAAGTTTTATGTATGTAAGTATATATGTGTATAACTCTATACCAAAATATAATGAGTAATTTATATTTTGTGCACGTGATAGATAGAAACATTCTAGGAATCACAAGTAGTTAATTAAAAATGAAAGAAATAATAAAAATTTGGGATAAAAAGAAAATGAGTGATAACAAAATTATAAAATAAGACTTTTCATTCTTTTTTAGTTACAACGGTCTACTTTGCACATTTGTCAACACACACGTTTGCTCATGTATTATTCTTATTTTTTATTAGTACAAATGTAAAAAACAGACTTTGAAAATTTGTAATGAGACGAAATGAACAATATTTAAAAAAATCTCATAAATTTATTAAAAAAACCGTAGTTAATTAAAAAACCCGTAATGAGACGAAACACACACTTTTAAAATCTCATACTTTTTCTACACTATTCACTACCCCTACTATTTTACTCCTTAAATAATGTGTCTAACCTAATGTAGTGAAAATTAAAATAAGGAGAGAGTAGACAATGTGGATTTATGAATAAAAAAGACAAAAATGATAAAAAAATACCCCAAACTTTGAAGGGGTGTGAAGTAAACACCCCAAACTTGCATATGTAATTTAAAACCCTAAACTTTATATAAAAAGTTATTTTCGCACCATTATCATGTATTATTTCTTTCAAAAATGTAAAATAATGGGGTTAAATTGTGTCTTCGTGAATTCTAAAATATTTTAAATTATGAAATTAACACCATAAATTTATACTCTCTTTGTCCCAATTTGATTTGCAAAATTTCCTTTTTTGGTTGTCCCAAAATAGTTTTCCACTTTCTATTTTAGGTATGTAAATAAGAATAGGCGAAATTCATAGAAATAATCTCTACTTTTAGGGGTTCTACAATAATAATCCATACTGAGAGTATTCATAAAAATAATCCGAACTAGCAATAATGTCCACAAAAATAAATAGAGGTAAATTAAAATTATTTCCCATTTAATTCTCCCAAATCTTACATCTACTTTGTCCTTCACTACTCTTCTTTTCGGGTAACACTTCTATCTTCTATCCTAGAAAGAACCACATATGGTGGAAATAAGATTAAGATTAAATGGGTTTTAGTTTTAATTCACTTCTATAAGAAGATCATTGAAGAGAAAAGTGAGAGTAGAGATTGATAATATTAAACGGGCATTAATTTAAATTCACCCCAATTTATTCTTGTGAACACTATTGTTAGTTCGGATTATTTTTATAGACACTCCCAGTAGGGATTATTATTGTAGAATCCCTAAAAGTATGGATTATTCTTATGAATTTCGCCATAAGAATAAAGTGATAAATTTATCCTTACTTTTACTTTTTCTCCATTAACTTAAAGGCATCTACTTTTAGAAAGATAAAAATGTAAAAAACAAATATCATTTATTGTCATTTATTAATCCTTGTGTCGGTCAAAGTTTGCAATTCAATTCGAGACGGGTGGAGTATTTTTGAAAGAAATAATACTTGGCTATAATGCTATAATATTATTTTATATAAATTTAGAATGTTATGTAACATTTTTTCCAAGGATATTTTAATTATTTTTCGTCAAAAACTCGACATATGGAGAGTGATGCATACGTTGAAAAGAAGTGACTGACTACTGACTAGGGTGGTGCTGGTGCAGAGCAGTACGTCGCGTCCAGATTGTTCGATAGCTGTGGGGTCCGTTCAATTAAGTTTCCGAGCCCAACGGACAGTGTCGGTGGCGGGTTGATCACACTGTTCCAACCGCCTTCGAGCGGGTCGGTTTGGGCCGGATGCGCACATATAATGAGAGAAGAGGCAGCTAGACTTACACGTATGAGGTCGTTGAGGAGGAAATCCGGCAGGAATCCAGGAGGCGGCCGGAAAGTACAGATCGATAGCAATTTCCGTAACTGCTCCGCCGTAGCCGGCAGCAGCACGTCTTCTATCCTATCCACGTTGGCCCTCTTATACAGCCCATCATTGTCCTGCTTCCTCAAGTTAATGGCCGAGCTGGCGATCACCACCTTCTCCACTCTTTCCGGCCACATCCTCGCCATATGGTACGCCACGAAACCGCCGTAGCTCGTCCCCACCACCGAAAACCTTTTTACTCCCAGTTTCTCCATCAATTTCCCCACACACTTGGCCTGCAAATTAATTTGTGTATTTTTCAATATCATATCTAACCACACTAATTCAATCAAATGGATAATTGAATTATCTAACCTACCTGGAAAACCTCCGAACGTTCGGTGGATTTGGTAACGGATCGGCCGAAGAAGACGAGGTTGGGGACGAAGACGTTGTAATCGGAGGCGAAGAAGGAGATTTGGGGGTGCCACTGCCAGACGCCGTTTGGGCCGAAGCCATGGATCAGGACCAGAGCGGGCTTCCCAGACGGCGATGATGATGATGAAGTAGGGTTCGGACCCCAGAAGTGGAGAGTAGTGTCGTCATCGATGTCCAATGATTGCGGAGTGAGGCCGGCGGCTGAGAGGCACCGCCGGACGAAACCGCCGTACAAGGAGACTGGGCTGAGCCAAGTCGGTAACATGGCGATGAAGAAGTGATGGGAATGTTACTTCAGACTCTACATCATCAGATAGATTAAATAATTATACAAATAAGGAGTTCTGGTCCAATGATTGGAGCATTCGTATCATATACATATAACATATACAAGTCTCGTAGGAACTAGGAAGAATGGTACTCCCCATCACTTGTAACTTTAAGAGGTTGCCATTTTTTGTTGTTTTTAAAAAAATTATTATTTTATCATTCAATTCAATTTGTGGATATTGTTATTTCTGTTTTTTGCATAAATCTCTTTTAGATAGTTTTTACTTCATATATATTTAATATGTTTTTATATCCTCAATATTCCAAAAGACTATTTGTGACCTAAGTTCGTGACCTAAGTTCTAGTCTATTCTAAGAGATTGAACTTTGATTGTTTTTTGAAAAGTGAAAACATGTTTTGATTTTGAGATTTGTTTATTGGTAATGAGGATTTAGGAGTGTTATAAGAATTAAAGATGAGAAGGAAAATGATTTTCCTTCTATTTCATTTGAGGGTTATGTCCCTATATATATACATTACAAAGATAGAATATTCCTATAAGATTTTATACAATAATAATATCCTAGAGTATAATCCTAAAATATTCTAAAGCATATTCTAAACATAGAAGAATATTTTAAAGCATATTCTAAAGTATATTCTAATGTCTTTCACACTCCCCTCAAGTTGGATCATAAATATTTATCATGCCTAACTTGTTACACAAATAATCAACATGAATTCCATTTAGTGCTTTAATGAATAAATCTCCAAGCTGTTCTCTAGTTTTCACATATCCTGTAGAGATGAATCTTTGTTGTATCTTTTCTCGAACAAAGTGACAATTGACCTCAATATGTTTTGTTCTCTCATGAAACACTGAGTTGTTGGCAATGTGTATAGCAGCTTGGTTATCACATCAGAGTTTAGCAGGCATTGGTGTCTTCAATCCGGTTTCACTCAATAAATGGTTTATCGAGATTATCTCACATGCCAATTGTGCCATAGCCCGATATTCTGATTCAGCACTCGAACGAGAAACCACATTCTGTTTCTTACTTTTCCAAGAGATGAGATTACCACCAACAAAGACGCAATAGCCAGATGTAGTTCTTCTATCATCTTTCGATCCAGTCCAATCAACATCTGCAGAGCATTCTATTCTCATGTGATTATGATTTTGATAAACAATACCTCATCCTGGTGTCCCCTTCAAGTAACATAATATATGCTCAACAACATTCCAATGATCAATTGTCGGTGATGACATATATTGACTTACTACACTCACTGAGTACGCAATATCTGGACGGGTAACTGTGAGAGAATTAAGCTTTCCAACCAACCTTCTATATCTTTTAGGATCTTCGAATGGCACACCTTCATGAGTGAGCTGCACTTTGGGAATCATGGGAGTATTGCTCGGTTTTGCCCCCAATTTCCCTGTTTCAGTTAGCAAGTCAAGCACATATTTACGTTGAGATAGAAATATGTCTTTCTTACTCCGTGTAACCTCAATCGTCAAGAAGTATTTCAATGAGCCCAAATCTTTAGTCTGGAATTGACTATGAAGAAAATTCTTAAGGGCCAAAATACCTGCATTATCACTCCATGTAATCACAATATCATCGACATATACCACAAGCAATGTGATACCTGCTTTCGTTCGTCTGTAAAACATAGAGTGATCTGATTTGCCTTTTATCATTCCAAATTGTTCAATTGATTGAATGAATTTCTTGAACCATGCACAAGGACTCTATTTCAAACCATAAAGAGACTTGTGAAGGTAACAAACTTTTCCATACTCCCCCTGAGCAACAAACCCCGAAGGTTGCTGAATATAAACTTCCTCCTGAAGATCACCGTGCAAGAATGCATTTTAATGTCCAACTGATGTAAGTGCCAACCATGAGTTGCAGCAAGAGAAATAAGCAACCTAACAGATGTTATTTTAGCAATAGGAGAAAATGTGTCACGATAATCAACATCTTAGGGTTGAGCATAATCCTTCGCAACTAATCATGCTTTAACCGAGCAACGAATCCGTTAGGGTTAACCTTTACAACGATGACCCACTTACATCCAATAGACTTCTTCCATGTAGGCAAGTCTACCAAATCCCAAGTACCACTAAGATCTAAAGCATTCGTTTCCTCTACCATGGAATGACGCCACTCAGCATGAGAAAATGCGTCTTTAACAGATTTGGGAACAGAAATAGTATCAATGGAAGTAATAAAAGAGCATGAGGCAGATGATAACTAAGTATACGACACAAATGAAGAAATAGGATGAGTACAAGGCCGTGTACCTTTACGTAGTGCTATCGGGAGGTCAAAATCTAATGTAGAGACAAGATCTGAAGATGTAGGTATCGGTTCGGGACATGAGATCGAGATCGGATCAGTATCAGGATAAGTAACCACGGGTGGAGGGTGATCTTGTACTTTGTGTCGACGGGTGTATACCAAGTGTACCGGAGGCCTAGGCTCATGAAAAGTAACATGTGGAACAAGTGTTGAAGCAGTGGACTCAGGTATAGTGACTGTGTAAATGAGTATATCATTATTCTCCCTTCAAATATTTGTCTGTGTTGATCAAAAAGGTGTATTTTCATAAAAGGAGACATCAATTGAGACAAGGTATCGACCTGTACTTGGACAAAAACATCTATACCCCCTTTGAACTCGAGAGTAGCCTAAGAAAATGCATTTAATGACTTGGGATCCAACTTTGTTAAATGGGGATTAACATCTCATACAAAACAAGTGCAACCAAATATTTTAGGAGGGACGAGAAAATTTTCATTATTTGGAAATAGGCATTGATATGGAGTTTTACCATCCAAAACAGTAGATGGCATTCGATTAATCAAAAAAACATGCGGTAAACATAGCATCCACCAAAAAATGTTTAGGCACATTCATTTGGAGTAGAAGAGCCCGCACAGTTTCTAATAGACGTATGTTCTTTCGTTCAGCAACTGTTAGTCCCTGTTTCTGTAACAGCAATGAATAACGATCTAACAACGAAGATTAAACGTAAGGATGAACACAGAATGAATCAACGTAAAACCTTCTTTGATAGACCGTGAACTCGTACAACAGAAAGATATGCGCGTAAGGCTATGAAGAATAAGTACGACGTTAACCTATTCCTAAACCTCGGCTCCCTTTTTATAGGCGAGGTTTAGGTTAGGCGTACAAGGCTTTTAGCCTGTTTATATGGGCCTAACACTTGGCCCGATTGCTATCTAATTCATGCACTAATTAAATACAATGATTAAATATAAAGCTAATCTATGACCAACTTGATTCACAATTAAATATCTCCAACAATCTCCCCCTTTGTGATCAAGTGCCATTCTCTTATTGCTTCTGAGACTTGAAGTAGTGCTTCCTCATACCAAGTGCATGTTCATATTGCCTCAGCACATTTCTCTTTTCGAGGCGATCGTCAATGGCCTTTAAAATTGTCTCTACTGTAGAGTGTTCCTTTTGAACATAAGACGATGCCTCTTGAAGATTTTCCTCTAGCTCTGCCTTCATCTTTAGAATCTGTTCTTTGATTATCTTCAGTGTTCCGTCACAGTACTTCTCAATTTCACTGACTACCATTAGACGTTTTTCGTTCTTGTGGTTCAGATAGGTGACTGCTGGCGGTGTGAAGAAGATGTGGTAGGCTGGGAAATCTTCAAGTTCTGGACCATACAGTCTTGGCTTTGTCAGATTTGTCTTTTTCAGATTGCACTCAATAGCCATCTGTAGGTCACGTGAAGAGTGTACTCGGATCTGTCTAAGCATGAATCTCTTGATAGCTGCGAGGCCTTCGCTGTATATTATGCTCTGCCTGACTGGAAGGTATCTGTAGGCCATGAACATTTGGTAGATGTCATCCGGTTTCAGCATGATGAAGTCGTTCTCTTGGCAAGTAAATTCGCTCCCATCGGTGCGTTGAAGTCTGTAAGTGTAGAATGTTACTCCATGATAGTCTTCAGCCTTCACTTGTAGAATTTGATGAATCGGGAGAATATTCGACTTCAGATCTTGTTCCATCAGTTCTCTCTGTGTACCGGTTGACCTTTGTAGCAACATATGCAGGTGACCTCCAACCTGCTTTCCTTTTAAGTGAGTAAGGCCTCTTAGCTTCAGTTCATTCAGTGGCTTGACTATGTCTGGTCTACGCCAGATATGCTCTCTGATTTCTTCTTGGAAGGGGGCTTTGATGCGAACATTATCCTAGGGTTTCTCTGTCTTGGGAAGTCTTCCCGCTGATTGTCTTACGACCGATTCAAGAGTTTTCTGGGATTCTTTGTAATTCTCCCCTTCCTTGCGTTCATCGTCCTCGAGCCTTATGATATCTTCAGAGCATTTGTTAATTAGCTCTCGTAGCCACCAGTTTCTTTGCATGTCCTCTTGTTCGGCCTCATTCCGAAGATCATCCCATTCTGTCCATTGTCTCGGCCATTTGTCATATATCACCGCCTCCTCCAGTGCATCATGGATGTCTTTGCCTGGGGAAATATATGGAACTCTTTGTTGAGGCGGTGATTGTTCCTGAGTAGCACTACCGGGTTCACTTGGATTGCCCGTTGACATCAGCTTAGAACTAGGTTCCAACTGATGGCCTGATGGAGAAGATGTACCAGTGGTAACATCATCAGGACTTCCATCCCCTCCTCGGTTGGTATCTCTGGGAGATACGCCTCGGGATGTTATTTCTAGCTCAACCATGCTAGATAAGTTGGCTGTGGGTGGTGGCTGTTGGTTTGTCGAGGTTTCGGGTTGGATGGGCTGTGGAGTTTGGCTTGGTAGAGCAGTTTGCTCAAGTGATCAAGGTCGCTTGTTCTCCCCCTCATGAGGATCCGAATCATCGGGGTCCTCATGGGAACGTTTGCGACCACGAAGACTCTCCTTGCAAGTGCTCTTGGTTTCAAGTGAAGAAAGAAGGGCTTCAAGTATGGCTTGCTGATGAAGAGTGAGCTTGTCTTCTGGGGTGTTTAAGAGGTTGTTCAGCAAAGCCGATGCTAGTGTGTCAAAGGATAGTGAGGAGAGATCGATGGAGGGTGTGGTGGGGTGTGGGGAGAATACTGGTTCTGTATCCTGGGTTCCCCGAGAAAGAGAAGGAATGGGAATTTGGTTTATGGATTGGTGGGATAGAGGGGTGGAGGATATGGGTTGTGTATGGGAGATGAACGGTTCAGGGGAAGGTTGGGGTGGTGTTTGTTCAGACCGAACCGCTTGGGTGGTCCTAAATTCCTGTGCTAGAGCGGTCATTGCATCTTGCACCCATGGCTTAATGGTGGAATCTAGGAAGCGATTGAGTAGAACGTTTACGTCTTCAAAGGTAGGGTGACCAGTTACGGGGGTTGTAACTGTTGACACAACATCAGTGAAGATTGCTGATGTGTGGCCTGCATTTAATGATGGAATCATTATGGGCGTAGCAGGGCTTCCAACCGTCATAGCTTGCGCTCTGGTTGTTGCGTTCAGGGTGTGTGCACCTGTATGTGCAGTGAATAGTGTAGGTGTCCTAGAAAATGAAGAAAATGTGGGGAATGTGACACCTAGACTCGATGTGTGAGAAGAAGGGGTTTTGACCTTGGGAGATAGGTCAATTGTATGCTCAACTGATTCAGAAGGAACCAGCGAGGGGGTGGAGTCCCGTTCTTTTGAAACAATAGCCTGTTGAGAGGCTATCGAGTGGCTGGGAGAGGGCTGTGCATGCGCAGTTGAGCCAGATGCTGCGACTTCTACCCGGGAACCAAAAATATCGGCTCCTGTGCTTAGGGATTCAGCTCGGCTTATCTGGATAAAGGTGTCGCAACCCGCGAAGATATGCTCGTCTGCCTTATCAAACAGGCTCTTTCTGGCTCTGGGCTGGGGCTTTGCCTTGGCAGCCTTGTCATTCTTGACCTTTGCCCTTTTCTCTCGGATGACGACTTCCTCTGAATTGAATGATGCCTTAATTGAATGAGCCGCCTCGTCATAATCATCCTTGGAGCAATTTGTCTCGCTGGGATCGGCTCTTGGTTTAGCTGTTTCTTTT